TCCAACTGCGGTCTGACCAGCGCCCGATAGAGGGGAAGTATCACCTCCTTGGACCTATTCGTCATGCATCTGCTGATGCACGATAAAGTGCCATTGGCTTTTCTGATGGCTTCGTCACACTGCCGACTCATGTTCATCTTAGAGTCCACTAGGACTCCAAGATCCCTTTCCAGTTCCATGCCACCCAGCAGGTCATTCCCTAGGCTGTAGGTGTGCTGGACATTTTTCCTCCCTAGGTGCAGCACTTTGCATTTCTCCTTGTTACATAAGTTAATTAATAGTGTCTAAGAGTTCTTCTTTCTACAGGTTTACCCGAGGTTCGAAATACGTGTCAGAAGCAGATCCAGAGAGAGAGAGAGAGACGCAGAGGTCGTCTGACGTGTGACTCCGCCATGACACCTATTGAACTCCTCGTGATTGAACTTTTTGTGACCAATGTATTGATGTGTATGTGTATGTGTGTTGGTTACTATTTGATTCAATCTGTAGAGGATGAACTACTGTCGTTGTATACTTTTGTACGTAGCCAGTTATCTTTAAAAAGGAGCGATAACTTGGATGGCGTGCACGTGCTTCAAGTCTCAACTGTGTCTTCGGCAAGGGGGCATGTGAGAGCTGATTTGGATCAGTGCCTCGACACAGTAGAACTTTCCAGCACAAGGCACAGTAAGGCAGGGGAAGTCTCGGCATGGTGAAGAGTTCCGGCGTGGACAGAGTTCCCGCCGAGGAAATGCAGATTTGCATTACACGATTGGCCGAAGTTAAATTATTCCCACGTGGCGGCTGGCAATTGGCTTGCTAGCCGTATAAAAGGTTAGGGGCGTTTCCGCCCTAGTTGGAGAACTCCGCGATTCCCCCTGGAGTGGAACTCCAGCAGCTTGATCACCTGCTAACGACTCCCCGTCGGTGAAGCCTTGTGACATATCCTCCATGTTGCATGCCCGAGTTAGACCCGAGCTACCCGGTCTACAAGAGCTCCTCAATTAACGATAATTGTTGCAACTACGATTGCCTGCGCTGTATACGACTCTACAGTGTAAGTAAATCTACCTCTGTTTTTCCAATTGATACGTGTCTCGTCTGTGCCTAATTCCACTCCGGCGATAGAGAGTACCCATTGGCCCATCACAGGATCGCAGCCGCAACCCCAGCTAGCGTTCCCAAGGACTCCTGATCCTCGATCCCCCCTCGGCCCCCACAACCACCACAGGGGGATCACTTGATTAATCAAGTTGGCTCTGCTTGGAGCATCAGAGCAGACAAATGTATGTGTATAAATGCACATAGAAAACGAGAGTTCAAAGTAATCCCAGGAGGTCACATCTAGTCCAAACCCCTGCTGAAAGCAGGACTTGCCCCAGCTAGATCATCCCAGCCAAGGCACTGTCTAACCAGGTCTTAAAAACCTCCAAGGATGGAGACTGCACCACCTCTCTGGATAACCTGTTCCAGTGCTTCACTACCCTCCTAGTGAGAAAGTTTTTCCTAATGTCCAACAAGAGCCATCCCTAGGGGTGTGTGGGGCCTGGGGCATATCAGCCTGTGCAGGACCTGGGAAGGGGGTGGGGAGAAGGGGTACAAGTGGCCAAAGGAGCGGCCAGAGCTGGGAGAGGGTGGGTGGCAAGCAGCCAGAGCCAGGGTCATTGGATCCAGCCCCCCTGCTTTAGGCAGGATGACAACTGGGGTTGGATGACCACAGTGAGGTGACTGTCCAGTCTCCTCTTGAAAACCTCTAGGGTAGGTGATTGCACCACCTGTGGAGGAAGTTTATTCCATAGTCTGGACACCCTGACTGTGAAGGAGTTTATCCTGGTGTTAAGCCTGAAGCAGCCTTCCAGGAGTTTGTATCCATTGGTCCTGGTCTTCCCCAGGGGTGCCCTGGTGAGCACTTGTTCACCAAGCTCCTGATGCACTCCTCTGATGTAGCAAGTCCCCTCTCAACCTTCTCTTCTTTAGGCTGAAGAGGTCCAGGTCCCTCAGCCTTTCCTCTGTCTTTCAGAGACTGTCCATGGCCCCCCGCAAAGAGCAGCCACCCTGATTCACACCCCCCCTTAGGGATGGCCCTGAGTCCAACCTCAACTTCCCTTGCTGAAACTTGAAACCATTTCTCCTGGTACTGGCATCCGTCACCACTGAGAACAGTGGCAGATGACAGAACAATCCTTGGAGAGACACTGAAGGAAACATTAAGTCAGAAGGGAAGCATTAATACAGCTATATGAGTGCTACTTGAGACAGTCACTGGATATTGTGGTGCAGCTCTTCCAAAGAGATATCCAAAAACTGGAAAGGGTTGAGCAACGATTAACGGTCCAGAGAACCTACCGCCTAGGGAGAGGCTGAAATAACTCAATCTATTCAATCATTCACTGACACAGCAGCAATAGTCAGGGGCTGTAATTACATTGGCAGGGCAAAGATATCTGACATTAGGGAGCTCTTTAATTCAACAAAGACACATGAGAAAGATCCAGGGGACTGGCAATTGTTGTTATAAACAAAAAGAGAGCAAGAGAAAAAGTCAAATTGATGATAAAATGTGAAGTCTTGACAATGAAGACAATTAACAATTGGAACAGGTTATTGTATGCACTAGATTCCCCAACATTTGAAAGCTTTAAAATTAAGAGCGAATGTGTGAGAAGTATACTTTAGCTCACCTATAAGTCATTGGACTTAACAGCATGTAGGAAGGAAAGAGTCTCTTCCCTGAGAGAATGACTGGGTGAAATTCTTTGATGCGCGTCCAGTGGGAGGTCAGATGAAATGGGCTCATCAGCCTTTGACCTCTATGAATTAGGAAGCACTGTAGGTAGCTGGCAGGATGTCCAAAGGCCAATGGACAAATATATTCTCTTGGTGGGATGCCTTTGTCAAGGTGAATTTTATCTGCCTGACTTCAGGAAGAGGTGAGTGCCCTCATCACTTAGTGCTCAAGATGGTCTTATTTTTAAATGTAGGGTATTTTTTTAATGGTCCCACTCAAAGGATGTAATATTTTCAATAAATCAAAATAAATTAATAAAATATGTTTGGCCATTCTACAGCTTTCCTTTGCTCCTTGGATATTGCTGAGAGAGCTGAAGGAAGAAGAGGCACAATGCTTTCTTCACCACTCACTTGAGGTGGAGGATGACTATTCAAAAGGCCTGGCGGTATTACAAATTAGCCCTGCCCTACAAACCTGGTGATGGCCAGAGACAAAAAAAGGTAAAAGAAAAACCCTCAGAGAACTCCTCACCTCTCAGCAAAGATTTAATAGTAGTGTTGTAGTGAGTTCTTACATTATTACCAGGTCATCACTGTCATAAAATACACCGCGCTACATTTATGATGTCATCAATAACTGAACCAGTCAGAGGGAGCTAAGTAGGTCTTTGGGCACTATTCTTGAAT